TTCAAGAAATAGCTTCATGTAGGGAATTTCATCGAAAGCAGCTGCGATTCCACCATTCGCACTTCCATTGGTAAAGAGTTCATCAAGCTCCTCCAAAGCCATCGCTCTTAAAATTTGGTTCCACCGTAGTGTATTTATTGCAATATTTTTCAAGAAATAGCTTCATGTAGGGAATTTCATCGAAAGCAGCTGCGATTCCACCTTTGGCACTTCCATTGTTAAAGAGTTCATTGAGCTCCTCCGGTGAACCAAATGTCCTCATCTTTGATGGGTCGAATTTCAACCCGTCGATTATTTCCTTGACGGAGGAGCCTCTATGGTACCCAACATTCTCCCTTCTCCTTAACAACTCATACACGTTAGTCGTAGGCTGCAGCCCTTGAATTGTTAAAAGAGAAGCTAAATTGGCAGTGTAGCTTTGTGTGAGAATGAATACCACAAAGCACCATATCAACACCACAAACCTTGCTGGATTGCTCACCACCCTTTCCCCTAAAAACACAAATAAGAATTAGCTATGATTTATTTCTTTTAATTTTTAGAGCTTTAAATCTCAGGCTAGAATTCAAGCTTGACTAGCTCCATTCTACACCCTAAGAGAGCTAAAATATGTTAAAAGGATCATTACGGTGGGCAAAAACCATGGTCGAAAAGGAGAACCAGAAGCTAGTTCCAACATGATGCGAAGGTGGTCCACGGAAATCTTCATTGATTCTATGTTCAAGAACCCAGATGACAAACGCGATCAAGACGAAGAAGCCACCGCTGGTGACCCAAAGATCCCATGTCAAAGGCTTCAAGAACACCCATGCATTCTTGTTTGATTCTTCTTTGATAGGAACCACCATTACCACTCCAGATTCCGTGAACGGTAATGTAAAGTCAACGTAAAATGACCTGTTGTTGTTGATGGAAATGTCTCCTACCACCGCATCATAGTTCTGTTCACCAAAGTGTTTTGTTAATTAAGAAATCTAAACTACCCAAAGAAATTGATATGTAAACTTAAGGGTTAGTTGTTATTAATTACTCCATAGAGCACTTGATCGATCAGGTCGTTATAAGTTCCAGCCATCTCCTGTTCAGCATTTTCAAAGGCATAGAAATCAAAAGGAACGGCATATGGCATTGCCTCCATGACAGCAAGGAAGACATCTATGCAATAACCCGTGGGAATGACTTTAGAATTCGGACCTGAATCGGGTGGAAGCTTGACCAATTCTCTAAATCCAGTCTTCACTGGTACTCCAATCTTTAACCTCTTCCCTTTTGTTGGCATCTCCCAGCCTCTAGGAGTGAAATGTGTATCCCCCGGCCATATGATGGTTCCAAGATTGGCCTTAGAAGTAGAATACCCTGTTACATTTGTAAAATCTAGTCTTTTAACTAGTCCATACTTTGACGTCCAGAACCCAATCCTTCTTTCACCATTTCCATTTACATTAATGATTTGGAAAATTGGGGGCTCAAGTTGCCCATTAATAAACCCAAATTCTCCACTACTGAGGCCTTTAAATCGCGTACTTGACAAAGCCTTGATGAGTTTTGGACCAATCTGAGAAACCCCAAACGCTTCAAGATCTGTTCTTGCACTTTTTGAAACATTTGACGCATCAAAGCTGAAATTTACCGTGCCAAGTTTCTCCACTGCCATGGCCAGTGCAAATATAGCATCATAAGCCCATAATCCAAAAATGTCTAATTCAGCATTCACCATATTATCTTGCAGAAATTTCCTTTTCCATCTTACTTTGAAAGTGTCAACCTCTTTTGATTCCGGGGCATAAACCCGTACACCCAATACCCCTTGCATGGAATCCATATCAAAACGATTAATCATACTCCAAAGATTAGTCATCCCATCAGTTATTATCCAAACATATCCTTCATCCATCATTCCAATCTCTTTTGCCATGTTGAAGATTCGGAACCCAAGATCTGGGGCCATATGAACAATGAAGACTCTACACTGCATCGCCATTAAATTGTATAGTTCCTCTCTAATTTCCTCATTAGTAGCGCTGACAGGGATAACACTCCTATAAGGAATCCGAGCATTAACCTCTTCGAAGGCGTCGGATAAATAAGGTATAATTCCTTCTCCAAACTCGTTGTCTACGTATATGGGTACAGCTTCTCTCCAGCCGAAGGCTTTAACAATGGCACTAATGGCTTTGACTTGAGATGAGTCATTGTGGGTCGCTTGAAAAAAAAAATGACTCCTTAGGGAGGAAAGCAAAGGACTTGTTGCGGAGAAAGAAATGATGGGCACATGAGATTTGTTTCCGAGGTTTATCACGAAACCCGCCTGCGTTGAACTTCTAGGTCCTATGATTGCTTGCACTTGGACGTTTTTAATCAGGTCCAGAGCTGCTCATCACAAGAAAATTCCTAGTTAGTTTTTATGATGTGGAGTGAAAAATATCTCATGGAGGATATAACAAAAAAATATATGAATTAAATATAAAAAAAATTACTTCACTTGTTGTTAATTTAGAATTGAAGTTGATAAATTAATTGAATTGAAGTATACACAGAAATTATTCATTTTCTATTTTTTGGCCGAATTAATTTGAGATCTTAATAATTGAATTAAAACTATATTTGTACTTATCTATTGAAGATTTTTAAAGACTAATTGGGTATTTATTTGGGATTTGAAAGGGATTTTAATAAGATATTCAATATTTATTTGAGATTTATTAAAAATTTGAACAATTTTTAG